CCACTATTAAGTTAGACCAGTGTTTTGATACCAGAATCGCGTGGAGTTAAGCTTGCTTGTGTCCGTCGGCTTTTGATCAAACTGTCCCCGCGAGGATTACGATTCAGCATCGATAAAACCAGAGAATTGCTCTCGATGATTTACACACAAAGTTTTATAAGCTGTCATAAGACGCCTAAGTACTGTTTTATTAGCCGTGCACGATATTCCATCGAGCGATAGTTTGATCGTTGGGAGATTTCAAAAACGTTCGCAATTGATCATTACCACCTCGAGGAAAGGGTCCTGTTAAATCAACTTCGTTCTCCAAAGCCCCTATCGGATGTACCATAGTTTTGTTAATCGTGTAAGAGTGCATTGGAAATCGGACATCCCGATTGATAAATTATTATATCTCTAGTCTATGATTCGTTGAAGCTAGAAACAAAGAGAAACTGGTTTTGCCTTCCAATTCTGCGCGTAGGTTGTATCTTTAGATACTTCATCCACAACTTTGTTGCAAACAACCTTTCACTTTGTCTCTGGATTGTGATTCATGATAGGATCTCGGGCTGTGTATTCGGTATCCGAGAAGAACGTTGATTCGACTAGTGTACCAAGACAGTAGTTTGCTGAAGATAGTTATGGTACCCGATAGTGATTGGCGACATTTATCGATAACTGCATATATTTACCTATCGATATATCGCTATTTTAGAAACTAATAATGAAATATGCAATTTGAGAAAAAAAATATGTTGACACAGTAATTCGTATTATCTCTATTGAAATTGAAAACGAAATTCCAAAAGAGGCCAATCTTTCAATATTCCTGTTAACTCGACAGCCACTCCACTTTTAGCGCGACGCGTATGTTCTTTCATCGATTTGATAAATAAAACACAAAAGGTTCAGTTTATCCAGGCCGATGTAATCTGTTTTTACACCGATCCGCGTTTTATCTTGAGAACACGTTTACGTGGAGGACAGTAGATTGAAGCATTACAACAATTTTGAAATTACACATGCATATATTCAATTTATTTATAGATTTGATTTTAATCTGACGATAAGGCCGAAGCGTATTTTTCGGAACTGTATCTGATGATCCGTTTAAGAAATTAATGCCCCGCTTTTGCAAATTATAGTAGCGACGAAAATATATAATATATTGCACGATTTTGCATAATATAGTGTAACATAAAATATATAATAAAATGAAAGTCAGCATAAATTCTGCAAAACACATCAATACAATTACACAAGCAGCTGATTTTCGGAACACGAGCGTAACACCGCATGTGACACGCTAGTGCAATCATTAAGAATGTGATTGTTAATCGTGCATGCACAGGGCAGGCGCATCCGTTCGCCAATTTCATCGCAGCTGACTGACCCGCATCTCCTCTTCGTGGTGCCTTTCAATGAACTCGCTTATACGATCTCGAATTCATTATAAAATACTCTCCGTCATCAATTATTGATCGTTTCATTTATAAATATACCCGAATAATTTTTTGCCCATAACAGTTTACAAACATTTAAGTATTAAATTAATTGAATGATATGTTGCGAAATTCTGACAGACGACTATGGTCACCTTCAGGATACAAGAAGCTGATCATTCAATGACCCGACCTCACAAACTCTAATAGAAAATTAACTCATTGATTATTCCACACCTAACTGACTCATATAAGTCTCTAACGTTACCTCAAACGCAGATACTATCGAAACCTACTATCTTCGACCGCCCCCGAAAAGACGACAGACTCTTGGACACATTCGAAGTGAAATTTTGCACACAAGGTTCAAGCACCGTGTGTGGTTCCCTGTGTTGATATTTATAATATTCTTACGGTTGTTCGTTCTATATCGGTACCACCCCTGGGCCGTATACAAGATCTACGTCACGCGTGGAATCATGAATGAAAAGCTCGTATACGCCCCCGCGCCTCTACCGATCGCCTCTTTCATTATCATTTCTTCTTCGGCGAGGCTGCGTAAAGCTCTCATGTGTCCTCGTTCGAAGATCGTCGCGGTCGCCAAAAGGGACGGCGAAACGGTTATTGTTTCGTAACGCGGCGCGCGAGCGCACACGACGGATCCTCTGATATTGCGATCAGCTGTTCAAAGACACGACGCAATGACCCATTTCGCGGGCAGGCCGAACGGTTCTTTAACACGAAAACTCGCTGACAAGAGAGGCCAAATGAAGGCGAAGCCAGCCAGAATAGAAACGGAAACCGCGGATCGAAATGTGTCGGTTCGCGGGGAGCTATTTAAAAAACATCCCCTTGCGATTAGATCCCAACGATGATCCCCTCGAGATCGTTCTACCGATAATTTAACAATGGAGGGCTTGAAGATCACAATGAATATTAATATGCGAAAGTAGCGTATATTCTGTTGGAATCATTAAGCCCATTCAATTTCGACTTCGACAGCCTCTTAGGAGGACCTAAAAAGAGACCAGTTTCTGAATGTCTCGTTAAAATTGTGGGACAGAAAAGAATTTCCACTTTTTTACCTGTCTCATGGACACTCAGAGAATAGTATATGAACTCTAGAATAGACTATCCATCGATAATGGATACTAAAATGTCAGACCTAACTACTCCAAATGCTCCTCGTCTAAGAAGCACTTACCCCTACGATGATTTCTAGCATCTCCACCGTCTACCACTACCTATTTGTAATTTCTCATTCGAGTCATTGTATCTACGAACATAAATCATCTTGAACGATCAATTACCACCTCCAAGGACCCCCAAGAGCATACATCTTCGAGGATCACCCCCTTACAAATGGCCAACGCCGAGTCATCGTGGACAGCGACCAACTCGTCCGCGAGCAGATCAATTAACCTGCCTGTCCGTTACAACAGGTTAACAGGTTCGGGTCACCCTGGGATGTTTCGTGTTACCGGCGGACTCGTTACGTCCGATTAACGAGCTTTTCTTTAGCGCAGTATTCCGCGGGCTTACGCAACCAGGGAAAAGTCAAGGGCTGGGAACCAGGACCGTCGAAGCCTGAGTAAGAAACTTACCGCCTGGTCTATGTGCTCCCATTTCTCGTTCAGGTAATCCCAGGTCACTTCCGTCATGGTCCAAGTCCGCGGGCCACGCCAGCTGGAACGTATATATCCGGGGTTGGCAGTTGCCGAGAGACCCGAACAGAGAAGAACCGAGGAAATTTGTTGCGGAAAAAAAGAAACGGACGGCTTCGTGCAGAGCGAAGTGGCTATCTCGGCGCCCCTCTAGAGATCACTAAAAACTTACATCACGCGTTCCTCAAGCCCTACATCGAATCTACACTTCGCGCTGCTAGAAATACTAGCGGCGGCTCCCGTACTCGCAGACTCGGTGTATATTTTCGGCCGAGAGCGTATACGCGTTCCACGGTTTTCGCCTCTTGAGAACGATATCGTTTTCGGCGGACTTCTTGCTGAAATCACTCGAGGTTTTTCGCAAAGTTCGTTGGGTCTGTGGAGGATTTGCTAGTGAGCTGTTTTTGGGGGTTCGTTAGGGTTTGGATAACTGGTTCGAGCATAATCAAAGGAATCGAACGACTTTAAATATAATTAACGTTTATTGGTATTATTTACATTATGGAAGAAGGATTATGAATTGACTGCATACCAGTGAATGACCATTAGGCAAGGAATTGTAAATTATAAATTTAAAAAAGAATCTGGCTACATCGCATTTTGTTAATAAAACGAAAAGAATTGACATAAGACATGTTAGATTGTCATGAAAAATGTCGAAATGATTACGATATACTGTTTATTCGCAATATGTAGCATAGATTGAGATGACGCACGATGCGCGGACGTCGAATGGGAGGAGTTCGTGAATCATGATCAATTCTTCATCGTTATCATAACGATAGGATCGACCATGTCTTTATTAATTTTTGGTACCACCAACAGGTCTACCTCGTCATTAAATGTTCCAATCATTAGTCTCTCCTTATTGCTATTTGTATCTTTATCCCCCAATTTTATATCTATATGTATAATGTATAATTCAGAACATTCGTATTCACTACAATTCATTTTTTGTTTTTCGGTAAACTTCTAATCGTGATGTTGGCAATACAAACGGTACCATAAAACAAAACGTAACATTTGCGTTGAAAATTCCTTAGATTATGTCAACGGAATCGCCAGAGTCTTTCTCAGCGCAAAATTGATGAGCACACAATGTCAGGATGGCCGAGCGGTCTAAGGCGCTGCGTTCAGGTCGCAGTCCACTTTGTGGGCGTGGGTTCGAATCCCACTTCTGACAAAAATATCTTTTGGATATTTTAAATCACAATTAATCTCCTGACACATTAAAAAACGAACCCTTATATTCACGTCCTTGAAACATATTTAACGATAAAAAGAATTGAAGAATCTTTTAGAAAATGATCGAGAAATTTGTTAGAAACTAACAGATAAAAGATCGTTCTTTTTTCTTTCCCGATCATTACTTCCCGCTGTGAATATCAGGTTGTTATTCGATACAGTTTTATAAAAATAAAATCAAATGAAAATATAGAAGACCGGAAGTCTATTACCATAAGGTCAGTAAAAACAAACGTGAGCTAACCGTGAAATCAAATGAAAGGCGTATCGAGCTACAATAGCACCCTGGCTAGCTGAACTCGGAACATTCTATTGATTTCTGTCCTTCGATCAACGACCGCTCGTTTCGGTAAACATTTTTAGTTCAACTTTTTCCATTGATATTTTTATTATTTCTATATAATCGGTGCGTGTACGGTATTATATAACTAATCGGTACGTATAATTATCAGTTGCATATAATCAAATAGTTGCCTGTAACCAAGGAGAAGAGGAAAAAGCGTAGTACCGTGAGCTTACTTTTACCGCGACGTAATACGTTATGTTGCTTTTTTTTTCAAAAGTATCCGTGAAAGTCTTCTATTTATTTTTATTCATTGCAATTCTATGGGTCGCTTTTATAGAACAACAAAGATAATCCATATAACGAAGTGAAACATTGTTACAGATGCGCGTTTGATGCTATGAAACACAAAAGCGTAACGAAAGAAGGTAGAAACAAAATTACGAAGTGAATAACAGTCAATAGTCAACATGGCGGACAGCGATTTACTGATCACGATTTCGGGTGCCGCGCTTTCGTTGTTATTCTACGAAAATGTTCGCAGTCGTGGGGACCAGGTGAATATTCTTCTCTCGTCCCTTGATCATTACTAATAATCCTCTCGTTTTGGCACAATTTCTTGCTTGTAAAATCGCACAAGCTTGACGTCATAACCTCAAATAGATCTAACCTCAACGCAATATGCGATCAAAAACATTGAAACAAATGAATTTTATCTTTCCGTGTTCTTTTAGATGGGTTTCTTGTTGGGGGAGAACCTCGAGTTCGTAGTGAAATCGTACACTGATGCAGAGAAACAGATAGAGACAGTGAAGACACACAACGGTAAATATACTCTATTTAGGTTGTCATAATTAGACTGCAGATTTTATGCGCTTTTTGTTCCTGGAAATTCTACTGAGAAGTGAACTATGCATGTTTTAAGTGATGGGAACTAAATAATTGACAATATGAATGTATATATGTATATGAAGTATAATGTACATTTTATTTTATTTGAAGCCTAATCAAGCCTTTAATAAAATAGAGGAATTTTTGTTTGATGTATATTTTTCTGAGTGAGTCCATAAACATCTATGCATTAACATCTGTAGTCTAAGTAGTCATAATATGGGATGCATCTAATAATGTTCTACAATAATGGGTTGTGGTATTTTTAGATATTGAAACTATTGTTACCTGCCCATTACCAGATGTTATACATGATTCTGTGGGTAGACTTAATAAAGAGAAGTTAAAAGACTTCATGAGAGACAATAGCAAACAAGTGATTGGTTGGTTTCGCTTCAGGCGAGACATAAACTTGGTACCCACTTTCAGGGATAAAATGTTGCACAGAGAATTTGCCTCCCATTTCTCAGGAGGCAATGGTTGTAGCCAAAAGTTCTTTGTCATGTGTCTCTTAAGCTCTTCAACCACTTGCGAAGGAGGTACACATAAGTTTAAACATGTATTTTTCAGGCATAGAAGTGGGTATGTATGAGCTACTCAGGACTCAGCAGTAAAGCTGATTATTGAATCATTTTTCTATTTGTGAGATTGCAATGCAATTCTTTTATTATAGAGCATACGAACCAGTTCCTTTAAGGATAAGTAATTTGGGAAATGATTCATTCATACTTGAAGGCTCAGATTATAAACCAACTCCTACCAAAAAGTCATCAAATACACCAGATGTATTTAATAAACTCATAGAATCTTTAAAGTAAGTTTGTAAATAATACAGATAAGCAATAATGTTGTTCATAGTGAAATTGCCTTTCTTTCAATAATTAGTGTATAATCCGACTATCAAACTGTAATTTCTTCCTATTATATCTGATACTTAGCGGTATATATTTTTAGTCTGAATCTTGCACGATCGTCGGGACTCGAATCAGCTATTGCTATACAAAAAGCAGCTGAACAGTATTTAGATAAATTAATACCGCAATTATGTGAATCGGATCTTGAAGTGACAGAGTTAGAAAACCAGATCAAGGAATTTAAACTGACGAGAAAGTCAAAAATGAATGGCAGTTCAAATAACCGCGATAAAAAGCATGAGGCTGATAAGGATCATGTCCGAAAAGGACAGAAACTAAAAGAATTATCTCCCCCTAGAATTGAAGTTCCAGATAATGTCTGTGATGAAAGACGACCACTTTTGGACGATTCTACTGCAACTGTATGTAGTATATGATATTGAAATACTTTTCATGCACTTCATATGATTTACCTACATATACACGGTTTTATTTCAGGGTCACAGAGTTAATAGTCATAAATTAAGGAATACAACGGTGCATGTAGAAAAGAGTAGTAATCAAAACGTGACAAAGACAAATACAGATACAGCGAACAGCCCAAGTAAAGATTCACTACCCATAAATGCGATTTGCGAAATGAAAATTGATGTTGCTGAAACTGTGCCGAATAAAAACAAACCATTTTTCAAAAGGGAATCAGAGATAATGAAGGAATCTATCTCTAAAGGTGAAACGTTTGGAATTGATCTCGGTAGAGGTAGGGGAAGAATACAGCTTGAATCACAAACTCGACTGAAAAAAGGGCCGTCTTCGGGTCCTATTGCTTCACGAAGTAATAGTGAAAGGACTTCGCATAACAAATCATCGCAGCAAGAAACAACAGAATCATCTTATAGTCAAATTACAAAGACAAAAGTAGACAATGCGCGGAAATCGGATGCAACGAACCATTAAAAAAAAAAACGATTTTCTTAATTTTCTTTGAGTCCTTCATAAAGATATACTTAAAAGCAGTAGAGCATTCTGTGCAAAAAGGGAATCAACCAACAGAGGTTTTAGGACGCTTACGCTACGCGTATATGCATTGTAAATATTTCTTATACAGAATATATATATACATATATATATATATATATATATATGTTATAATTTTTAAAAATAAATGAACAGTCCGTGTCAGTACTTTATGTAAGACAGGTCTGTTTTTAGAACATTTGAATCTCACCGAGACGACAAAACGCTACTGTGCCCTGTTCATAGTATTAAAACTGCATTATAAAGTGGAGAGGCATCATAGACTGAACTACTGAATAGCTTTTAACGCGTTCTCGTGGAAATTCAGCACATAAAGATATTTTTAAAAATATAAGGAACTTCTTTTTTCGTTTTATGTTATGCTAATAATGCTTATAACATATTCCCAAATATTTACAATGCTTCATAGACCAATTTAAGTATCAATGAAACTCTGAGAAAAGATATACAGTATACGTTATTCTTTTTGTCGTCAGTGTTTTAACACCGTGCCATTACATTTTTAAGTATTTAATGTATAAAATAAATACTGACGGTTTTAATTACTATGTTTTATAAATATTCGAATTAATACGTGCGTTAAGTACTTCACAAGTAATTAAAAGTCTTTTTAAATAGTTTTTTTTTCTTCTAAATACTAATCGTAGCGTAAGATATTTGCGTTAAAGGGGAACTTCAGTTTTTGTTTTGTACAGAAATACTTCGATTGGAATGTTGTTAAAGTATGTCGGCAGGATTATTCGGGACACCTGTGACTTCCCATATAGTAGCCGCGAGTCTCCTGGAATGTTCCAAAACGCACGAAGACGTTGCCAAGCCAAGGTGAACGCAATAGAGTTCGTAGATTCTGATTTTATTTGCGGATAACTTCGGAAAACACGTTTCCGCTAATTTTCTATAATATCATAAAACAAAGTGAGTAAAAACTTTTAATAGAAAAAGAAAAGAAAAACTGATAATGATACCAACCTATAGTAATCTCCGCAAAATATACCTGGCACTGGAAAATTTTTCATTATATGGTTCAAATAAACTTTACACTTCAATGGTGATCCCTAAAAAATATGCATATGATATGAATAGTGTAATATTATGTACTTGTTATTTCCAGATAGTGCTCGTCATTTACTCACTGAACTGTCCTCAAACCATAAGAAGTAGGCATAATTGAATGTTGTATCTTTCCACATGACCGATAAGTGTCCTTCTTCTAAATGCATTCTACTTTGTTTCACCATATTCCAAATCTGTACAAGTAATATTTCATTAAGTTGGCGTTGAATTTATCGTCGTCAGTTTCTTTGACTCTCAATAAATTACCTTTTTGGTTGTAAGAGTGAGAGTTTCGGGATTTGTGAAGTCTAATGTCGGCGCTGTCAGCCGATGAGTGGTTCTGTCTATGTATATGAAATGCACAAGGCCTGGAAACTCTTCTAAATATTTATTGATGGTTAGGGAAGTTCTCGTAAATTATATGTCATTAAGGAGGTATATTTTCATATGTATTTATTATAAAAAAAAATAAAAAAAAATTAACTTTACAAAATTGTGGAACTAAAAATAGTTTTAAGTGATTCTGAAAGGATATGATCCAAGGGTGAAGTTCTTCAATGCTTTCACTTTAAGAAAATCACTGAAATCGTTCAGTTTTTGACGAACAAGTCTACCTACAGTTGTAAGCACATCAATGCCGTGTTTTAAAAAGTTCTTGTCAAAACACGTTAGTCTGTATAATTCTTTCAAATTGTCTGTGAAGCCAGATGTATTGGATTCAATCTGAAGAATAGATTCTGGATCCCTAGATTTCAAGAGATCCATATATTTTTTCCTAACAAACTCCCACTTTACCTGCAACCTTCTCTGACACATATCTACATCGTTACTAACATTCGCCCTATTCTTCTTAATTCCATCTAATGCCTTCTTCATTGCCAAGTCAAAATTTTCAAATGCTGGCCTTAACTCGTCAATATCCCTTTGAAGTTGCAGACCATTGATGATATTTAAATAATAAAAACTATCATATAATCCAGATGATGTAGCAAGATTAGTAACTTCCACTATCATGACCAGATTAATACCATCGGCTAATTCGAAAATATGTACTGCATTAGCAGTGTAATCATGCTCAGACCCAAGCAGGATTAGATTGCTGCACAAGCCATCATCCATTAAAGAATATAAACCTTCATTGATGGAAGATTCTCTTGACCCTCCTACAATGAAGTATTATATGAATGTACAATATGAATCAAGTTAATAAAAACCTGACAAAGCAAAAGACCATACTAAATAAGTTTGTAATGTCTTCCGAAGTAGGATTTGAAAGCTTTGCTCCAAAAGTCAGTTGCTCCTCTTTGGAAGAACTATTGTCAGGCAAGAGAATATCATTACGGTCGTCATCATTACTGCTATTTAGCCCAGTTTCATAATCGCGTTTTCGTTTTTGACTGACTACCCAACACATGAGCATCATCATCAATATGTCAGAAGCATATAAGTCATGGGCATTTTTACTGGAATATAATGATAAAAACTTCTGTTCCACCAATATTAAAATGTGGACATTAGAAAATTCAGACTGAGTCTTTAATTTGTCACAAGCATCATGTAATACTTTTAATATTGATACTCCTAAATCAGTGTTTATTGATAATTGTTCTATTGCTTCTGTAAGCATACTTTGTTCACAATCTCTTAAATGCACCCATGCATCTAACAAGGAGGAAACTAAGCATACTTTTTGTCTGCTTATCTTCAATCTGAAATGATACTGCTACTGCATTACTATTTTAATTAAATAACTCCTATAAACTACCAGTACTGTCTGTATACTTACATTCCAACATCTGGTCCACAGACATGCCTAACAATTGCTACACATACGCCCAACATTCTTTTCATTAACTCTACATCTTCCAAAGAAATATAAATAAAAGTATATCCCATAAATTCATCGAACACCATGTTTGTACCATCATGGCATTTCATTGATGTATAAGAATTACCGAACTGAGAAGCCATTACATGCTGAGATGTAACAATAGGTGAAAACAATTGCATTATGACATTTGGATTAAGCCTTGAGTCTGTGTCATCTGAATTCTCCTGCGAAAGATATTAATTAATAAATGCACTTTTACTACAAGTTATGAATTATTATTAATATAAAAGATATTTCTCTACATTCTTAAAATTTTTCCAAATTTTTTAGAAAAACTTACCTTATTCTCCGAAATCAATCCTTGAGTCCTAGCTAGTTTCTGTATGTGATTAGCGAATTTTTTATTGCACTTCGTAAAAAGAACATCGTTGAGATGATCAAAAATTAAAATCCCCTTCATTTTTTAATCAGTTTAACAGTATGTTAGTTTGCAGTTGCTAGACACTACTGTCAATAAATGTCAATACATAAATATTTGTCTTCGCGCTGACCCGGCTCGCGGGATCACAATTCGTTCATTCTTGAATACCAGATTGCTCAATACGCACGATACAGACTTCTTGCCATTTCATTCACGGTTCGTGAACGACTATTTATAGCGGGATACGTGATACGTACACTCCGTATTGCTCCGTATACGTCTAAATTAGACGGTCTAACCAGATTTGCACACAAGACAAAATGTAGGCGACGAAGTTGATTACCTACCGTGCTTATCTACGGATTCATCGCTAGATGTCCCTTACTCGTAACCAGTTCATAGCGCATAATTCGAACACAAGGATCATGCAATGAAAGCTTACCACAGGTGGAAAACCAACGATTTGTTCAAACTATATAGTATTGACATTACACAATTACTAACTATGTATATATTTATGAAACTGTAACGTATTACTATTATGATTTGTGAATACAGTTTTAATATAAACAATTCCAGAAACTGTATACTCTATATTTTAACAGTTTCATTATTTAAAGTAGACAGTCGTTTAAGGTAGGCCCCCGTTTTTATTGCAAAACAAAAATTCGAGACATTTTTTAGAAAGCGCGGACAGACTGCAAAATCGAGAAATGTTTAAAATTATGATAGCCATCTGGTCGCGGAAACTAATTCCACAACTTTTACAAAAAGCGAGGGCAATTTTCAAATACGGGGATCAGCCCTAATAGCGAGGGCAACGTCAGCGCATCTGTGTACCGCGTACTTTATGGCGGAAGAGCGAACAGGCGGGAAAGAAGAGGGGATGAGGAATTACGGGAAATTAGTAAGGAATTTAAAGATCGGAAAACATAAATGGAATTACATTAATCGTTGATCAAACACAGTTGCGACGACATAGTTAACTCCGCATCTGTTCGCGACGAAACCGTTTAGTCCCGATCACGGATCACGAACAAATTGGCCAAATTAGCTTCGAAAGTAGTATCAGACAGCCAAGTACGGGTATGTATATCTACCGTACGTTTCTAAAGTCAACGCGTAAAGCAGCGTAAAGCGTACGTGACGCTCCTTTCCACCTACGTATGCGGGTAAAGAGACACGTGTGTACACGATCACGAGTCACGTACGTGACAGCAACGATGAGTGGGCGTGACGTGTACGTACACGCATCACACGCATTCCTCGAGCAATTTCTACACCGCGAGGCTCCTCGACGATCAGGCAAGCATCTTGAATGAAGATCTCGTCAGTCCACCTTCCATCTACACGTCATTTCATTCACTACTCCGTTGGACACTGTTGCAAATTAAGACACTTTTTACTCTGTTCAAATATAAATATGCAAACCGCAATGCAGTAAACAATCTAAACTGGAGATATACAAGTATCCGTAGTTTATATTGAACTTAATAAATATAATAAACGGAATAAACTTGTTTTGTAGTATAAACACCTAATTTTGTAGTTTTCTTCGAGAACACTTTAATCTTACATAAACAATGTAAACTGACATTTAATTTTGACAATTGTAGAATTAATTAGAGTTGGATCATTTAAAATGATTGAAGACTTATTCTACATATATTGAGTATCGAAGAAGTATTGGTATTTATCTTGACTTTAATTGCACGTATTGCCTCTATGAAGCAGTTGGTAATGGAGAGCAAGAAAATCTCGCGATCAGCGTTTCGCGGTCACGAGAACTGACGTGTTTTGCCGGTCGATCGTGGGGCAGGCCAGTTCTGGGGGACCCTCTGTAACAAGATAACAGGAAATGTAAAGAGCTTGTCGTTACCTCTTTATATATTCTATATTCCTGATCAAAAGATATGGTCAATAATAAGGTAAGCAAAAATCATAAGAAAGTTATTTATGCCAAGGAGATCTCCTGTCATATTCTACATTCCCAACGAGAAGACACGGGTTTCTACATGGTGAGCAGAAAGCATAAGATGTTCTCCCTATTCTAACAATATAAGAGGTAAACCTCCTAGTATGTTCTGTGTTCCTAATGAAAGGGGAGCGCTGCGGAGTGGCCGCTCCGCGCATCACTGCGCCCCACTATTCTTCACGCACTCGTAACCGCGTATATACGAATCATGTTCACCTTTCAGACTCTTCTGACCACAATTATGCTTACTTGCACTACTCAATGGGAATTAAGCAATTTATGTCCAGTGGCCAAGTCACGTACCTTTTGCAATTTTTTCTTTTCTAAAGTAATAAGTATAGTATCTTACTATTCATTTAATTTTTACGGTAGATTTTATTACGGTCAATAGTTTATTCAGTATCATTTAATGACGCAAGAAGGGCATACAATATGAAAATTGTTTACTACGTTGAAATGAATGCAATTGACATCAATTTCTTGGAATACATAGTGTTTGGTGCAAGATAGGTAGAGTGTATAGACGAAGTAAAGATCACTAAAGGGGGCCTGTGGCTTGAGCGTGCATAATGATTGAAGATGTTAGAAGCATGAATCATTTTTGAGTCAATTGAATTGTCTCGTTTCATTCAAGGATAACAAGTACAATGTACGACGTGTAGCATAGCTCCCGCCAATATACATACCCTGACTCTTTGTATTTCTGACATCCTGCTCCAGTGGAGTTCATTGGTACGTTTCCACGATGCTCCGTACTGTAGCACCCAATGCAACCGCATCCGAATGACCTAGAAATCCGCCTTTCTGCATCGTTGCAGATCTCGTCTGTGGTTGTAGCCTTCTCGGTGGTTATGTTGGCCGAGTGAACGGTCGATTCTAGTCGATCGACAGAAGTGTTTTGCGGTAGTAGCATTCCACTGTACTATCTTGTGAGCAACATTTTTGTATTTCGTAACAAGGTTCACCAGGAACGACTATGTATTCAAATTAAAACGAATTTAACGATCAATTTAATATCAATCATATTCTAATGATGCCTAGAAGAAATTGCCTATTATTTCATCATATAACCTTTTTTTAACGAGTTATTACAAAAGGCTGTTGAACATGATATACGTAGATAAAAAAATATATGCACCTTTTACGTATTTTCTATACACTTACTACGCGACGCCACACCAAGGTACACAAAGTCTCGCCAAACCACACGCACGACAAGCAAAATACCTACGTAAATATACCGCTGTAATCAATTACATTAACCATAACCGTTTCTATAGGTAAGACTGAAATAGTGTATATTTCTTTCTCTCTCGTAGGATTTTATAACATTGTGGTGGCTAATGGGCTCGTGTCTAAATAGATGGTCTAGAGTCTAGACTCTTATTAAAATCGCCGACGAGATCGTCGGTGTTACAATGTCTCTAGTATAATACAAGTCTATGATAATTAGTCTGAACCGTTTTGAGTACGTACAGTTGTGAGTTGCTGAGTGCCGAGTTCCAGCAAACGTACTCAGTATCACGTGATTACGTGTATCACTTTATCTCACTTGATCTTGTGTGTGCCGTTCGCTTTCTTTGTCACGAACGAATTTGATTGGAGGGTTTCTCGTGAGTTCCCAAGTATACATATTTAATCATATCCCATCCTATTCATATTGAATACTCTGTGCTACACTGTGCTATAATAATCTGCACCACGTGTTGTATATAAGTATTGTAACTCATATAACAGCGTTTAAACGAACTACTTGATCATTTAAAAGTAACAAATATGCCGGCTCGTAACATAATGAGATTATCACAGATGTATCCACCGATAACCGGCACACTTAATAACGCTCAGATGAAATCAAAGTCTACTTCGGATAGTTATGAAGTACGTCAACTATTGTACACAATGTATTAAACAAACACGCTGCTGCTATTTACTTTTAATACCTTGTGTCCAACTTTTACGACCATCCCTTGCAGAATTTATCGAAGTATGGATTCATTAAATCTATTAACACTGGCATGTACGCTATTCTACCCATGGGACTACGTGTCTTAAATAAATTAATCAATCTAGTTGATAATGAAATGGAAAGAGTAGGAGCTCAAAAGATTATGCTTCCAGCTTTAACCGCGACACAATTGTGGAAGCAAACAAATAGATTTGATAGTGCTAAAGACGAATTATTTGTACTGCAAGATAGACACAGTAAAAAATATATACTTAGCCCAGTGAGTAATAAATAATCATTCTTACATTCAATCTTATAACTAATGTATAGATTGTAGATGTTACTTTTTTTAGAATGGAGTGTGTATGCTTTTATTCTATTACATTTTGCAACATTCACATATATTGTAGATGCAATTGTATATAGACTCTGCTTATCCTGTTTTTGCATTATAGACACACGAAGAAACAATTTGTCATTTAATTTCATCTGAAGGAACTATGCCCTCAAAATTGTTACCTTTGAGATTGTATCAGATATCTAACAAGTGGAGGGATGAAATGAAACCACGTTGTGGATTCTTGAGGAGTAGAGAGTTTGTCATGAAAGATTTATATACATTTGATGCAACTTTGGACGATGCAAAGAAAACTTATGAATTAATATGTGAAGCTTATGATAATATATTTAAGACAATAGGGATAGCATATTTTAAATGTGAGAAGAGATGAAAATAGTAAAAAAAATGAAGTACTGTAGATGAATTCATTTACTCCATAATCTGTTAATGTTATTAATGGTTACAGCTATTGGTGATACTGGTTTAATTGGAGGTTTAATGTCCCATGAGTATCATTATACAAGCAATATCGGTGAAGATATTGTTTGTGTATGCTCAGCTTGCCAATATGCTATTAACAAAGCTGTATGTACAGAATCACATTGTCCTAAATGTAGAAGTACATTTCTTGAACGGCATACTGCCGAGGTAATAAAATACACAGATACATACGTTATCAATAATTTTTTCAATGAACATTTACTTTTTATTTAAGGTGGGCCACACATTTTTATTAGACAAAAAATACACAAAACCCATGAATGCATTCTATCATTCACGGAACACAATTGAGCCTTTGGTAATGGGGTGCTTTGGACTTGGCCTGAGTCGTATATTTACTGTTATGTCTGAAATATTATCAACTAAAGATGAACTTAGGTGGCCAAAAAATTTAGCACCCTATACCGTGTGCATTATACCACCAAAAGTAATATATTCTATTCAGGTTTTCCGAATTAATATAATCATCCAAAATACTTCAAATTGTATATTTTAAGATTAACAAAACATTCCAGTAAAAAATCAATTCTGGATATATCTATTCTATCTATACTTCTACAATACGAGAATTTTTTAAATATAATGTACGTAAATACTCGTACGTGTATAGTTTTTGCAATTTTTTTAACTGTATCTTATGCCCCTTCAAACAATATAATCTTCTTGTGCATTGTGCAGTGCTTTTGATGATTACATTAATTAGGTTACTTTGTATCATATTTGTTGCAATCATTAAATATATCATGACCTTTTAGACTGGTAGCAAAGAAGAAACTGCAACTCAATATGTAGACCAAATAGTAGAAACTTTAACTCACTTAAATATCGATACTGTACTCGATGATAGAACAGAATTAACTATTGGAAACCGTTTTAAACAGGCTTGCATTACTGGATATCCATACGTTATAATACTTGGTAAAACTGCTGTGAAATCACCACCAATGATTGAGATTCATAACATAAATGATTCGACACATTCTAACATAACTGTGGAAAGTGTACAGAATTATTTTGAAGTTAACAATGTTAAAATTTAATAAATTTTTTATTACTGTTTTGAGAGTGTAATAAATCCATTTAATACACAATTGAATAGAAAAAGTACATTTAGCTGATATCTAAGAAAGTAATTATCTGTATATACTTTTTTAATGGCATACTTTTTTTTAGGGATTTAAGGCTCCAGTTTAACTTTGACTTTGTGATACGCGTTGCAGAGAAGGCCTCGTAAATTCCAAATATTCCTGAAACTTTCTGGTTGCACATTGTAGGATGCATCCACAGCTTTTGCCCATATTTCCGTTTCCTTCCAGTCCTTGTTAACAGGAAGATCTATGTTCCACAATGTCCAACTCCAATGCCGACCTTCCTTGGCATTTACGTCTTCAGCGTATAAATTAGCTGTGTGCCAAGTTTTACCTTGATCATTTGTTACATCAACTCTAATGATTTTTCTACCACCCCCTGACCATGCATATCCTGTAAAAGAATTTTACTTGTTAAAAAATATGACGACGAATTGATACTAATAAGTAAAAACAAGTACAATACCTTTAACATTTATTTTTCCATCATTCACTTTGACTGTCTGTAATGGTTCTGGTGTACAGATTGCAGAAATTACAGGCATCTCTTGGATAGCAGGAGCCTTAGAGAAATCTACATTGTCCCAATCAGTGCTGGGAGAAAAACCCTTGTAATCACCTTGCTGCCATTGCGAATGACTCTCTTCTTTTGAGACAATTATTTTACCTATATATTTACGACCAAGGGAATTATACTTTGTATAATTATTGTTATAAACGTAATAATTGTTATTTTTTTACCAAGCCATTTTACATTTCTAGCACCCACAACACCAGGGACAATTACTCGAATAGGGAAACCATGGTCTCTTGGTAGTGGCTGTCCATTCATTTCATAAGCTAAAATTATGTCTGCTCTAGGATCCATAGCTTTACTTATGGGTATACTTGCACCATACGGTGTACCAGAAGGATCTAGATCGTATCCTTCAAACTTATTTCAATTATTTATACATTACTCTTAATTAATATACTGGTAATGGTGATTTATATAATAATACCTGGACATGATTGTAATCGTCTTCATTAATTTTTAAATCTTTCAGAACATCATACAGCCTTGCACCAGTCCATGTGGCATTACCAACTGCACCTACACCCCAACTGAGTCCTTTTAAGTGTTTCTCCTACAGAAATTATTGTAATTTGAGTAACTATGGTATAGAGTAACAAAAAAATGGTTTTCAATAGGTTTCCTTTAATAAATATGACTAGTTGGATGTATTTATTGAAAAGACACCTCTACCAGTGCTTCCTATTATAATTTACCTGTGCCATTTCAGATCTTCTATTCCCACCACACATTACAGCACTTCTTATTGTATACTTTGGATACTTTTTTATATCCTCAAAATTAAGAGACCTTTGTGTTGTTTCCTCCACAGCCAATTCTAAAGTGTAAGTTTTCATGTCTACCTTAGGAACAGGAAGATGATTTCTTACATAGAATAATTCTCTAAAGGAAAGTAACATTTTATGAATTATTTGATAGGTAAAGCTTTAAAAAGTAATTTTTTAGTTATATATGTTTACGTTGGTGTAATGAAGCTTTCAACTAATAATGAAGGAGATGGCTCAGCACAAAAGGGTTTACTGCCATTAACTTTTAGAGCTTTGTGCCTTTGTGGATCTTCGGCATATGGGTCATCTTGATCAGCTTTATATAAAAGTGCATCTGACTTAGAAATATTTCCAATTCTCATTGATTCAAGCAATTCATATATTTCTAATGTATTATGATTAGCAAAGATTTTCCAGAATGGCTCAATAGAACTGCCAGCTGCCATTGTTATTTTTGAAGAACCGCCAGGATGCTTTTGTATAAAATCTGTTATATCATACACGCCTTCTTTAAATGTTACCCATATGTGGCTCTCCATATTATCATGTTTGCCTACTTCTTCTAAAGTGTATGTATTCAAGTCTGTCCTGAATTCCCCGCATTGTACATTTTTCTTACTCAATGCTTGGACTTTTTTATGAAATGTATGATAATAATAAGACAGGCCTAAAAGGGATGTGGCAACAGTAATGTACGCAGTATATTTAGTGTAAGGATTGTCTTTAGATGTACTCTTTTTTCTGTTTTCTTCATTTTGAGAGGAGTACCGCTTACATGATTTAATGTAATACTGAACAGAAATCCTTGACGTCCGCATTAGAGATCTGAAATAAATTGTATTTCGTGACATTCTAAAAAAATATTAATTTTAAACAGTATATACTTGTTCCTGAAGTGATAGAAAATCGTTGAGTGCAGAATCATGGCGTCAAATTCTCAAATTTGGTGCAAGAATGAAAACAAAATGTAGGTAGTACCAGCAATAAAAACACACATGCTTAAATAAATAGATTTAGACGAAGCGCATACGTTCGTCGTTCGTGTGATACACTAACGTTAACTTAAGAAGTTGTACGTAACAATTCATGTAAGTAAACACCCTTATCTTTTTTTTGTACAGTGTGTTTGCGTACTGACATACAATAAGTGATAGTGTATTGGTTATTTGGTTGATGATTGCTTCCTGTCATTCTCGTGCAATCGTGTTTTCGTAGTTCTTAGCATTATTATTTTTCTTTTCTCTACTACCCGTAGACTTTTTGATAAAATATTCAATGAATTAGACAACGAATAAAAATACATTGAAATATACATAAAACCGTTCTTTACACAAATACAGATATCCCTTATACCTATGACATCAAAGAATTACTTACTTTTCTAGTAAGTAAATATTAAGTACTTTCTTCTGATATTTATGTCGTCATTTTTTATAGTAACATTAAATCCTTTTTGTGCAATTCTCTCAAATAATTAAGTACTATTCTTTTTCCAAATAATTTGAACTTCAGCTTAAAGGTTATATTGCAAAATCTGAATTATAATTTTGAAATAAAAGTTCGAAAAAAAACTCAAGAGTATTGTTTAAGTATCATTTGACTTCTCATTAATAGTATTTTGAGGTCTTTTTTGTGTGTATAACGTAAGTTACTGAAATATAAACACTAATACTTCCAAAATATTATGATTTTTGTTTTATAAAGAAATATATTTGTAGGTGAAATGATATAAAGCATATAAATCCATAATGGCTATGGCTATGAGAAAACGGAGTGGTTCAGGCTCCAAACGTCAACATAAGGGGAAGCTTGTACCAATTTATGAGAGCTTCTTCAAAGGAGAAGATTTGACATTAGCTCATCCAAATTTTTGGAATGAATTGTTCCTAATTAAACCTATGGTCAGTAGTTTCCCACATCATTTTTATTCTACATTAAATTTCATTAGTATTATACAAAAATGATCAATAAAGGACAAGAATTTTACAAGCTTGTAATAGAAGATTAGTACAATACAAATGAATTTTGGAAATTCTCCAAGTTGTCCATCAATGTTTCTCATTACCGAGCTTGCTTCATCTATCATGAAAAAAATACCTTTTGAGTAGTTGAATAGCAGTGAAATTAAATTTGCATTAGTCAGTGCATTAGAGACTGTACTTAAAGTATACCTTTCTCTGTTTCTTTCTTGCATAGTCTCCTTGATATTTTTCCTCAGTAATATAAGAACTTAAATATTCACAGTCCTTTTTAATATTTGTGTCAGATTGTTTTTTATTACAAGTCTCTGTTTCTGTACATAAGTTCTTTGCTTTTTGTTTAAGTTTATCGTCTTTAGCTAAATGAATCATGTATATAAAATTAAATTCCCTATTGCTTATCAAATTTGAAAAACATTGTACGATATACATACCCTTAGGTTGTACAAAGTCTTCACATTCAAGCTCATTGCGAAGACTACCTGGCATAAATTTACATTTAAAATTAAACCATGCTTCACTTGTCTGAACTTTATATTTCAAACATTTTAACTGATATATACACACTCTTCCATAATATTTTGTAACTTCCCATGTAGGCAATGACTGTAAGAATATACATGTATCATCAAGTATGAATGTCATTTTTGTAAAACATTTTTGTGAGAATGATGAACTTACCTGTATTATTTTACTAACAAATTTACCAATCATGATGGCATACAGTTTGTATTCTATTGATATATAGCTTTTAATAATTGAAACCATGAGTCAGAAGTAGCATTTTTTACTGCAAAACAATTTTTTAGTTAGCCAAATAAAAATGAGAAACTTCAGTACATGAAAAATTTCTTGTTGACAAGAAAAGAAAAAACTGTCAAAGGAAAAACAGATGAATTGCTATCATATACTTGGTGATTACCGAATTCGCGATCTATTTCGAAAGCAGAGAAATATATTTGTTTTAATATGTTCAGGTTCCACATATTGAGAGTGAAATTTTACACATGACAGCGGAACAATTAAATGCAAGCAGAGAAAATTTAAATGCCTTGGTCTGTCATTGTGTGGACACATTGGTCGATGAACATCCTTTCAGAGTTGTGTATGCTTTGCAAACGTTAGCAGCTGTTATACAGTCTATGTATAAGAAAGCTAGTCAAGGGGATTGTGGATTTAACTTAATCGATATTCTAGTGGGATTCGATTCTGCTGAACAAAGGATGACAACGTTAATGCAACATTGTAATAGCTTTTTAACAGGTATATTTCACGGCATATAATTGTCCATAATTAATCCATATTCATTAAGAAATCAAAGATTCAAATAAACATTTTCTACTGTTTTTCCAAAAACGAATTGATTATTAAAATTTTCCATAATTCCAGGTGAATACCCTGATAGCTTAAAAGCTTTATGCTTGAAATTATTGTTAATTATTGTAACTGGCATGGACAATGTTAGTCAGAACACTTTGTTGGAATATGTTATGCTTAATAGTGTTTTTGAATCTCTGGTTCAAGTAGGTGTTATATTGGTATAAGTATTTAAAAAAAAACGTTCAACAACATTGATTAAAATTAAGCATTAAAATTAATACTTTACGATTTTTCATACAGTTGCTGAGAGACACAACAGCTAGAAGTCGTCATGGCCATGACGCGGTGTTGCTCTTAACACTTCTAGTCAATTATAGAAAGCATGAAAGAGCAAATCCTTATATTGTTAAATTGTCAATTTTAGATGATGAACTAGCTCTAAATGGATATGGCCAAGTAATATCAAGTTCACTGATGGATTTTTGCAGACAATTCGCTCAGCAAAGAGCAGGTATAAAGTATTTACAATTGACGTATTAAAATGTTTATAACATGTGAAATAATAAAACATGTGTATATTACAGAAATACAAGCATCTTGGCTGTCTTCCTTGACTAGTATAGTAGGCAGCATGTTCGTTGGAGAAGAGGAAGCAAAAACGCAACAAGTTCGTGCAAATAACGCATTGTTATTAGCGCTTTATGAAGCTACACACTTGAATCGTAATTTCGTAACAACCTTGGCTTATACTCAAAGCGATACAAGTGCACCACCATCTCCGAATAATACGTTAGGACCAAATGCGGTAGCTCCTGGGGCACAGCTACCGGATGTGATGGCTCAGCCATTTAATTTGTTGGCCACATTTTTACAGTATTGGTAAGAAAACTAGATAGTCTTAAAATTTTGTGAAGCATTACGCATTTAAATTTATTATATTTCTTATGGTACAATGTTTTCGTGATTTCAGTTCAATAGTTATGCAGGTGATCAGAACGGAGGCAATAATGAATAATGTCAAATTGTGCTTCCTCATATTAAGTTGTATTGCGGAGGATCAATATGCAAACAGTTTGATGCACGATGCAAACTTGGCTTTTAGAGTACAACTTCATAGGGTACCAATGCATCACAGAAAAATACCAGATAAAGTAGCACCCGCGCAACCATTGGCTGCCACATTACTTGGTACAGTTATTATTATAAAATTATTATAATTAAGAACAATTACTTAAAATTAAATAAGTACGTTTATTATATAATTATAGATTTACTCGTTGAATTTATTACATCGCACATGATGAAAAAATTCCCGCTTGAACTTTATCATCAATGCATCGGTGTTTTACAAAGGCTGCTCTGTTACCAAAAGAGATGTAGAGTTAGACTTGGTTATCAATGGAGAGACCTATGGACAGCATTGATTAATCTCCTGAAGTTTTTAACCACCCATGAAAGTCATCTCATTAAGAAAATGAACATATTTCCATTAGCCATCCAGGTAAATTAATGTAACACAAATGCTCGAATATATGTTAAGGAAATTTATCTAATTTTATAGGTGGTGAATATTTTAAATTTGTTTATTACTTATGGAGACACATTTCTATCTTCCCCAAGTAGCTATGATGAATTATTTTACGAGATAATACGAATGAGGCTTATTTTTACTAATTTAAATGCAATGGGTAAGTATGCAACAGATAAAGTTAGTATGTTTGAAATGTCTTCTAGCGTATAATAATGGAAATACGATTTATACATTTAAGCACTCCGATATTCGACGAGCGAATCTTATGAATATAAAGAGCATGCATTAAAATTGACAAATTGTTTGGTAAATATGAGAGACATAGTGAACCATTTCCCACCAAAAATAGCAGCATGGCTGGCCAGCGAAAGTTTGTCGACTCCGACGGAACAACAAATATTAGCGATCATAATACAGAATTATGATAGCCTCACCTTGAAATTACAAGATAACTTGGATCAGTATGAGAGGTACTCTGAGAAGCCTGATCACGTTGCATTTTTTGAAGAAATGGTAATGTTCCATTAAACATATGGAGGTTGATTATTGAGATGATGGTTACATGGTACTCATATTGCTTGCAGGTTACTGGAGTCGTAATGGACACGAGAGGCTCGATAGATTTGAGTACTTTGGATACGCAGGCTATATTACAAGAACTATCGAATATTTCGTAACACAGATTATATACATGAGAATACAAATTGGAGCCTGTGCATTACTTCGTTGTCATGATGTGTTATAATGTATTTTTTTTAATACAATCGGCTTTACATGTATTTCTTTAATGTTGCAAGGAATGTAGTTTATGGAGAACCGAAGTATCACGATGTAGTGTGTTTTGTCATTGCGCTATATTTCTATAAATTGTGTATACAAGGTTCAGAGTCATTAAAATTTAATGAGTAAGGAATTGGTATTTATTTTATAAAAACGGACAATTAAATCGCATGTTTCTATTCAATAATTAAAAAATATAGAAAATAGAATTCTATTAAATAATATTATCAATATTCCTCTCATACGTACTATTACACGTACTTTTTCAAGTGTTCCTTTGTTAGAATTGCAACACCTGCCTTAGATTGATTCTTCCTCTGCAGTTGAATGCTAATAAAATCCCCAATTTTTATTATTTCATTGAGGTTTACTCCAGTCTCTAAACCTTGTCCATGCAGAAGGTACAGCAAGTCTTCAGTGGCAATATTTCCAGAAGCACCAGCTGCATATGGACAACCTCCCAGTCCACCAACTGATGAATCAAACACCCTTATACCACATTCAAGACTAGTATAAATGTTCACCAAAGCTTGTCCATAAGTATCGTGACAGTGAAGACTAAATTTACTCATATCAGTTGATACATGCTTTAATTCGTGTAATACATCCTTTATTTTGTTAGGAGATCCTACACCAATAGTATCTCCTAAAGAAATTTCATAGCATCCATGTTGTAACATGAATTCTGATAGATTAGCTACCACTGTGGGTTTGACTCCACCCTCGTAAGGACAGCCAGCAATGCAGGACACATAGCCTCTGACTTTAACATCATGTTTCTTAGTTTCTTCTACAATTGCTTTAATCTTCTTCATACTATCAGCAATAGAACAGTTAATATTCTTCTTTGAAAAAGCCTCAGATGCAGCACCAAAAACAGCTATCTCCTTTACACCTACTTTCAAAGCACTTTCTAAGCCTTTCAAGTTGGGCACCAATACAGGATATGAAACATTAGGTTTTTTCTTGATCATTCGAAAAACATCAGCATTGTCTGCCATTTGTGGAACCCATTTTGGAGACACAAAACTTGTTACTTCTATATTCTTTAATCCAGTTTCCGATAATTTATTAATAAATTCTACTTTAATCTCAGTTGACACGATTTTTTTCTCATTCTGTAGTCCATCTCTGGCTCCAACTTCAACTACCTTTACAAAATCACTGAATGTCCTTAAATATTTAACAGAAACACTATGTAGATGTTTCAAACAAAAGATTTTATACATTTTTAGTCTTAGAAAGTGGGAATTTATTTTTTATTGAAATGATACAATATAAAAAATAAATATTATGCTGTATTCTTGAAATTATATATATAGCAAATACAAGTCTGTGTATAAAAATAAAACATTGATAATTAAAGTATTATGTATGCAATGGTCACTGTATGACTCCATACAAAGAACTACTCATTTGCAAGAGATAATGAATAAGTCCATGATAAAATATTATAGTAAACAAGAAGTATGTTCGCAATAATCATCTGATATTACATAAATGTATATTGATATGGAGCGTGAAAATCCACTGAAATGTTATTGAAAATTATTTAAATTCCTTTCCAAACCAAATCAAATAAATATCGTAATTAAGTGTATGTACTCCCAAACAATATTATTCTTAATTTTAAATCACCAAAAGTTAAAAAAATATTGTATTACCAAATTTAGAAAAGTATACTAAATATTAGAAAAGTTTATTTATACATTGTCGATTTAGAGGGATTCCACAAATAAAAGTAAACCATCAAAAAACATTTTTAGTAGGAGCCCCTTATCCTCCGTCACTTTTTCTCCTAATAGAATCTAGTAGAAGCACCGACTAGGTATAGAATAGACCTATCATCCAATGCTTTTTTCTGTCCCACGTTCATAGGGTACGTAACACTGTTACCATTTTAGTGTCAATACCTGACGTTACCGATAAAGCATGAATTTTGAGTATTACTAGCACAAATGAAGTGTTATACATTCCATTCATATTGCGTGTATCTACATGATTTCACGGGAATAAAAAGGGATAAATACGACAATCATGAAACATGAAACGGAAAATTATATATTTTTTCACTTAACTACAAGACAATTTATTCTAAATGCATCGTTAATGGACATTTTATTAATGTTACTTTTTACATGTTCTTGTTTTATTCGTTTTTATATCTTGCCTTACATTTGTATATTTGTAACAGATAAATTCAGAATAGATGTAGTTTCATAAATAGTTTATCAAATCTACCTTTTGGCCGGCGGCTTACAATTTCCCTTGCGGGAATGCCTTGCCTTACCGTAATGAGCAATCTCGTGCCGCTGGATTCCGGGAATCGGGTGACGTCACGGCGTGCAAGCGAGAGCGGTAGAGTGAGCCGCGGTATCGGTGCTCTCCGTTGGTGCGACGCGTGCCGAGGAATTTCAGTGGTCTATGGGGGGAGGTGTGCGAGCGAGAGAGTACAGTAGAGCGTGCCGCGGTATCGGTGCTCTCCGTCGGTCCAACGCGCTAGTGAGGTTGCGTCACACAGTTTATTGACCTAGCCGTGTACGCCGTGTACCAAGGCCGTACCTGGTGTTTGGGTCGTTCATGGAGGAAGGTCGTTCAAGCCGGCAAAAACAATTCAACTCGAACAAACGTAACACAGAAACTAGCTGTTGCGTAATAACCTACGTACGCCAATACATAACGGCGTTAGCTTCCTCACTTTCTCGTGAGCCGTCGCGGAGGGTGGGCGTGCGTCTCATACTCGTCCTTTCTCTTGTTACTAACCCATTGTTTGTTGTAGGCATTCGACAACCACCGTATAAAGGAACCTGTTATTTACTGTGCATATTATTAATCTCTTTACTGTGTATATTGTTGTGTCCCCTCTCTTGTTACTAATCCCTTGTATGTTACAGATGTTCGAGAACCATTGGCTTCGATATTTATCTTATTATGTACTGTGATTTATTGACTATGATTTATCTACTGTGCATATTATTAATTTATTTATTGTGCATATTGTTGTGTCCCCTCTCTTGTTACTAATCCCTTGTATGTTACAGATGTTCGAGAACCATTGGCTTCGATATTTATCTTCTTAT